GTGTGAACTGTATGTATGTACATTTCTGCATGTGTGTGTACATGCACATAGAGATCAGAGTTTGGTATTGAGGTCTTCCTCAGTCATTCTGCCCTTAGGTATTGTTAGGTCCGCTCACCCAGAGCTCACCTTAGGCAGCCTGGCTTTAAGGATCTAGGGATCCAGTCTCCTCCTATGGAGTAAGGGATCAAGAAGGTAGAGCTCGGAATGCTGGCCCTTGTGCACGTTCTCCAGCAAGCCGAAGCGTCTGGCCTTTCACCAGGTGCTTTGTAATCATTCAGAGCGTGGCTTGAACCTGGAATCTACAGATCCTCAGGCGGCTTTGCTGTGGTGCCTGCGACAGCACACACGACCTGAGCTGTAACTCTGAATAAAACACCTCTGGCTGGAGAGGTGGCTCATGGGAAGGTCATTTGCTGCTTGCCCAGAGACCTGAGTTCACTCCCCAGCACCCACATCAGGGGGTCCACAACCTCCTGCGTGTGACTCAAGCTCCAAGGGACCAGATGTACACTAGCACACACAAATAAAGATAACCTTTAAAAAAGGTAAAATGTTCCCTAAAAATTGGAAAAGATTCTTCTATGTGTAAGAAATGTTGCTTGTCTCATGGAGGGTGAGCTGGTGTGCTGTTGACATTGAATGTGCCCGTCCTGGGTCCACTGAGTCCTTAGCTACACCTGTGACTGTCAGCCGCATCAGAAAGGGGAGCTTAGCTTTGCTGGGGATGCGGACCACACACTTTCGCAGGTCAGGCAGCCAGCACTGAGGAGGAGGTGGGAAGCCACTCAAGAAAGGAAAATTAATCCTAGGGAGGAACTCGAAGGTGACTCCCGCTTTGGCTTGGGGGATGGGTTAGTGAAAGGGCTCCCGTCCCCACTGAGGGGCAGCACAGCTGGCCGCAGGGCCTCTTACTGCAGGCTTTTGCTCACCTTTGGCCTCTGCACCCTCTCTCCTCTGTGTCCCCCCCATCCCTTAGGACGAACAGTGTCAGGGTAGCCAGCCCAGCCCACCATTGCTCTCTTTGATTTCGAAGGCTTCTTACGTAAGGCACTGGGCTGTCCTCTTACCATGACCTCAGGCATTTGATACTTGGTGTTCTTTGACCAACTGTAGTTCTGTCACAGGCAGTGGCTGGACTCACTCCACGGAGAGAGAGTGACTGTCCAGATGATAGAGCGATGTTGAAGGTCCTTGTGGCAGTATTGGAGCAGAGCTTTGATGGAAAATGGTTTCAGGCCTTTGTAGGCTGCACAGCCACATGCTAGGGTGAGCTTTTGCCACATAGTAGGACCCCAAGTCCTACTCCTGAAGGACTGAGCGTGGGACTCAGGAGACTGTGAAGCATCCGCGTCTAGCATCCGCACGATCCAATGCCACAACTCGCAGCCTTGGCTTCTGCTGTGGGGAGAGGCATGAAGGAAGATCTGTGTAGGAAACAGCAGGCTGACAGTGAGGAGAAACAGCTACGGTACTGCAGTGTGTGCCCAAGACACGTAGGCTGTGACACCTGTCTGCTGGCTAAGCTTGTAGTTCCCCTGTGCGGTAGTGGATTACAGACCAGCCAGGCTTGTGGTCTTGTAGAATTAGCTCTTCTATGCAGGTGACGTATTGTCTTTCAGTCGTGTGCAGGAGGTGGGTTCTGATCATTGTAAATCACTGAAGGCCCACTGGGTGGGTGCTTTCTAGGAACGGTCCTTGCCTGGCATCCTTGCCTGGCATCCGCTGACGTTCTCTGAGCTTTTGGCCAGTTCTCCCGAGATGATACGTTCTGCTCATCTGTTGTGGAGAGGAGTCACTCTGGGTTTGTGGGGGGAGGCGTCCTCTTCATCTGCTCTTGTGACAGGGACCTCCTCCTTTCAGAAATGTGCAGAGATCATAGTGGCCCACCTTGGCTACCTGAATTACACAGAGTACAGAGTGACTGTGGGATTTGAGCACCTGAACCAGCCCATCAAGGAGATGAACTTCACGGTGAGTGTGCGGCCAGTGCGAGCTTCTGTGGCTCCCTTGTTAGATGGTTTAATGCATTGGGGCCTCGTACGGTTTATTTTGGAAAATAAATAAGTTTAAGTCTGTAGAACCCAAGAATAGCTTAAACAAACAGCACAGAAACTGGAGAAGCCAGGGTACACTCAGCCCGCCCAGCCCACGCTTAGCTGCCTGTGACTTTAAGGCTGCAGCTCGTACTCACATATTTCACTTAAGTATTTTAGGAGATACTTCCCACACTCAGATCTTACACAAGTCTGTCTCTTTGCATGTAGAGATTGGTGTTTTCTAGTGAAGGCTGACTTTTGATAGAAAATGTAAAATTCAAATGATAATTTATCTGCTAGATTCACCACTTAAAAAACCATTTCAAAAAATGTTAATATTTTAGATTTTTGATCTGTTCCTTAATATAGAAGTAAAATTTGTTAAAATTTTGCAATATGTGAGACAACAGGAGAAAACAGTGTTTTAAACTCCTCAGTAATTGTTACTAATAGCTGGGAACTCTAGGCTGTCACTCTGTGTCACCCCTGGGCCCTCACCGTGGGGAACTTTCTAGTGTTCAGGGTCTCCCCTTCAGGTGCAGATCTACCTTTTGGTGTCTTGCACATAGGCGTGCTCACACAGACACTGTCTGTCCCCACCCCGCGTTTCCCATTTCAGTGGAAGACATACAACCCTGCGTTCTCCCAGCTGGAGATCTGGTTCCGCTTCGTGTTTGTGGTGCTGACCTTCATCGTCATTGTGAGTATCGCTTGCTGGGGGGGGTGGGGGGGGGGGAGCTGTGCCCCAGTCACTGAGGATGACGCTGATCTGTGCAGTTCCAGTCAGCAGAGCAAGCTCCAAACTCGGAGGGAGGCCCTCCCACAGGCTGGTTTGGTCCACTAAGGCTAAACAGTGTCCACTAAGGCACTGTGCTACAAAGAGGGAATGAGGTATCATTCCGTGGTATTTCCTGTGTAGCGTGAGAGTCATTGCTGACCGTGGTGTGCAGTGAGTTCCTCACCCCTGTAATCTAAACATCATTTCGCCCTCATAGAGGGCCTTGTTGGGGTGACAACAGTCTCAGTGCAGATCCAGCTGTCTTTTGTCCTGAGCAGCTGAGTCTTTGGGCTTTTTAAAAGCTTGCAGAAAAATGATTCTGCAAACGCCAGCTTTTGGTTCATTTAGGACCTGAAGTTTGTGCCCACACTCACTCTGGAGAGAATGCTCGAGCACAGAAGGGTGCTGAGAAAAGCCAACCGCACATGCTGCTCGGTGGCCGATGGTGCTGTTCTGCTGTCAGCTGCTCTGCACTTGGTGCTGACGGGGAGTGTGGCATTAGGTCTGTGTAGTGTGTGGAGATGGCCTCTCCAGCTGACGCCTAGAGCGTGCATGGCGTGTTACAGACCCACAGTGGAGACCAGCACATAGGCATGTGGGGAAGATGTAGGAGGTGTGGTAGGAACAGAGCCTGGGCCTTGCATCAGGCTTAGGTAGCTGGGCCAGGCCCAAGGCCGCGGAGAAGGAAGTGGGCCTGACTTACCACATAGCAGATCTCACAGAAATCCTTTTTTTTTTTGGAACGCTACCTGGTATCTAAATGTGTTCTTAAATGGGGAAGGGGCCCGAACTTCAGCAGATAACCTGTGCTGGGAGAAAAACAGCACACAGGCCAGGAAATTCAGACATCCCAGAAAATTATTAGTCTACATTAGATGACAAGGAAAAAGAATAATAGTCCTAGATATAACACGTTGTTCAGTGTTTGAAAACTGTTTAGAGACATTTCTCCCAAGGGCTCTACACCCTTATGGACTGTTTGAGAACACACTTGTCTTTGGGTGGCATGACTTTGCCTCTTGGCCCAAGCTGAAATACAAGGGTGTGGCCCATCTCACCCGTGGCCACACACAGCAATCACATTTTTGGTTTGGCTGTCGCTGATCGCTGATGGGACCTCAGTGCATCCTGCCTGATCCCTCCCTGACAGAGTGAGACTCATCCTGCTGGGGCCCAGCAGACAGTCTGGCCATTTGCTTTGCAGTGCCTGTTTGTGCATTCCCTGCGCAAATTCTCCATGAGGGACTGGGGCATCGAGCAGAAGTGGGTGTCTGTGCTCCTGGCCCTGCTGCTCCTCTACAACGGTAGGTGCCCTTTACCTCCAGACTCTTCCCACTCAGTCCAAGCTGGCCGGCATCGTGAAGGGTGGCCTGGTCCCAGAGTCCCCAGGAGTGTCCAAGGGGAGTCCCTGAGGGTATATGTTGTGGTACACTCCCTGGGCCCCATGTTACACAGGCCACAGTAGATGCTTGGATCCTGAAGAGACACGAACTGCCTGGGTAGTGAGAGTTGGACAAGCTGCAGACTCAGCAGTCTTGGAACTTGGCTGAGGTGCCCAGGTGTCTGTCTGTTCCTCTGTCCTCATTCCAAAGAGCATTTTCTGCGGTGCTGGGAATTACCAGGCTTCAGGAGGAGCTGACGCGGGCAGATGGCTCTCTGTTAGGATCACTGTCGCAATCTGTCCATGCCTTTCAGACATTCAGAAAACAAAATCGCCTTCGGTTCGCTACCTGCCCTTGAGCTCTGACCGGGGGAACTCTTGAAAGCAGCAGCCGGGGGCTCTGCAGTGGCTGGGGGCTCTGCAGTGGCTGGGGGCTCTGCTGCTTACCAGCCTTCTGTGTTCTTGACAGTGTTTGGTCTTCTCCCTTCCAGACCCTTTCTTCCCACTCTCCTTCCTGGTGAACAGCTGGTTCCCGGGGATGCTGGATGACTTCTTCCAGTCTCTGTTCCTGTGTGCCCTGCTGCTCTTCTGGCTGTGCGTGTATCATGGGATACGGGTCCAGGTAAGCAGACAGACAGAGCTTCAGAACGAGTGGTCCCACGAGACCCTCCCTGGCCTACACTGCATAGCAGAGACATGCTGTGTGAAAGTGTTTGGGATTTCATGTATTCTGTTAGAGTAAGACACTGTTTGCTGTATTCCTTACTTTTTTCCTACCGTTTCTTTTAGGGAGAAAGAAAATGTTTAACTTTCTATTTGCCTAAATTCTTCATCGTTGGACTGCTGTGGCTGGCTTCTGTTACGCTGGGAATATGGCAGACGTGAGTAATGTCACAGCTTATGGGTGTGAAATGGAATGTCAGCCCTGGAAAGTGCTGACGACAGAGGCTAGGCCAGACCTCACAGATGACAGCATCTGCCCCAGCAAGGTCAGATAACTGGACCCAAGGAACTGGGCTTGGCTTGTGTGGCTTGCATCAAAAAGGTCTTCTAGCCTAAGTGGAAAGTGAGAAAGCTTGTGTTGTGTCATCGTGGGCTTCTTCAGCAAGAAATGACTTGGTTTGCTGGGACAGCACCCAGTACTGTCCAGCAGACACGCTGGATTCCCCTCATGTACCTTCAGGCTTTCTGATCTTGCAGAGCTTCAGGCTTGACTCTGCTTAAACTCACATGATCCCGGTTAGATCCACGCCCCTTCTGTAAAGAGCTCTGCTGCCGGGCCTGTGCATCACTGCCCAGCATCCCAGAGACCCTGCTCAGCCCCGACCCAGTGTGCTTTGTCTGTGGCCTTTCATGCTTCATTCGTGCCACACTGGCCCTGACACGTTCTACACCATCCATGCTGTGCACTCCTGCAGCTTAGGTCCTGTGCCAATGCTGACTCTGAAACTGAAGCTCACGTGCTTTATTATCTGCTTTGCTTGCTTTGCCTTCTTCTATCTCACATGCCTGGGTATGCCACTGAAATAGCTCCTGGGGCTGGGCGGTGGCTCAGTTCAGTGTACTCTTCCAGAAGACCCAAGTGTACTCCCAGCTCCTGTATCAGGTGGCTGTAACCATCTACGACCCCCTCCAGGGGGCCTACACCTCTGGGCTCCACAGTCTCCTGCACTCATGTGCACACAGCACTCACAGAAACACATAATGTAAAAAGCAAATCCTTTAAAGCTAGGCCTTTAGCTACGTACGGGATAAGCAATCCTGCACCTTCACCACTCTGATGAGGACATAGTAGGCATGTGCCCTTATCGGCTGAGTGCTGGATGCTTTCTCAGTGTAGAGTTGCTATTTTTAAAGTGCTCCAGTGGTTTAAGCAAGTGTTATACAAGCAAAAAACCAAATGAAAGAAAAACCCAAGTCAGAGAAAGTGTGAAGTACAGAGTAAGTTCTCTTATTGATCTGTGTTTCCCACATCATCCTTTTAGATTTAATGAATTAAAGGACCCCATGTACCAGTACCGGGTTGACACTGGCAACTTTCAGGTAAGCAGTATTCGTGAAGACTCAGGACATGCTCATCTTCTTTTATGACGTGCCTGGTTTTGTAACTTTAATCACACTGTTGGTATAAGTTTCCAGATGGCTGTTTAAAAAGTAACATAGAAAGATCAGGAATGGAAGATCTGGGGGAAACCAAGCCTAATAGTCTGGGGAGATGGCACGAGAACCTCAGCCAGAGCTGGCGATAGACTGGGGAAGAACGCTGGTCTAGGTCCTGGGGAAACCAGAGGAGGAAGACTCTGGGGTGAAGGGCCTGGAGTGGGGCATCCTGGGAGGAGCTTAGCTCAGAAAGGGAATCAGTACTACAGGGGTGGGGGCCATGGAGCCAGCTGGAGGCAGGGCAGAGCTTCAAGGGTTTTTCTGGGTTGGGGCTGGGTTGAGAACAAGTCAGCCGCAGTCAGTGAAACTGCGACATTTCGAGGAACTGGTGGTGACAGACTAATCTGCTCTCGTCTTTGTGCTTGTCTGGCCTGGTTCATCATTTCTTTGAGAAGCTGAGGCAGGAAGGAGGGCTGCAACTGGTGACTAAGCCCCTTATGTTTCTTCATCTGTGAAATGGGGCAGTAATGGAATCTCTTCCATCACACAAGAGATGTGGAGCTCTTGGCCAAATGTAGACAGGATGATGCAGACAGGATAGCATCCTGAACTGTCGGTAGCCCGTCTCTTCCCAGCCAGGCAGTCAGGGATGTGAGAACATGGAGCATTCCACACCCTTTACTGAGGGACACAGCAGGGATCAAAGACTGCCAGGGTGCTGGGAACAGCTGTCCTGCCCCTTCCCCTTTATGAGGAAACAACCAGAATGAAGGTTCTTCCACAGCAGAAGCTGAACCCTGATCTTTGACCTGCAGTCCCAACCTCACTGCTGTGACCATGAGAGGGGGGCTGTGCTTCAGAGAGGGCAGGAAAAAAATAGAAACTCCTACCACAGGAGTCCCATAGCAGGCAGGCTCAGTGAGAAGAGCACATACCACCTAGAACCCGGCCCTCACCAGAGCCACTGACCTCTGACCCTCAGACAGGGGCTTTCCCATCCTCAAACCATGGAAGGGAATGTTTCCAGACCTTAGGTCTCGTAGAACCTTCCGTTCAGCACTCCTTTCTCAGGAACAGTCAAAGACTTGCATGAGGACCAGCTGGTCCAGCTGTAGGTCCTGTCAGCATGACCTTTGTCCTCAGTAGCACAGGGGTCAGGTCCCAACCCAGGCAAAAGCATCAGCCACCACCAATTGCTCAGCACACTCTGGCCTTGGGTTCTAGGCAGAGCTTGGGTTCATGTGGTCTTGATATGAGATGCCTGTGCTTCCTGATGCTGCAGCAGTGGAGGTGACCCAAGGCTCTGGGTCCCCTCTAATTATCCTGGGCTTCGAAGCCTGCGGGGTGCTAAAGGACACACACTCCAAGACCTGGTCTCAACCTCATCCACCTCCTTTTTTCCAGGGCATGAAGGTCTTCTTCATGGTGGTGGCCGCTGTATACATTTTATACCTTCTATTCTTGATAGTGCGGGCATGCTCTGAGCTTCGTCATATGCCTTATGTGGGTGAGTGCTGCTCTGGGAAGCATGGGGCACCAGGGGCCACACCCCCAGAAGCCCTTGGCCCTAGAAAGCCATGAGATTCCTCAGGAAGGATTGGCAATTTGGAGAGAATCCTTTAAAGTAGAAGTTGGTGATCCCTGGTGCCACAGAGCTGTGTGGGTTGCCTTACAGGGACCATTGATAACACTGCCCTTGACCAGGGCAAGCCACACGAGTGAGAGTCCTTTGCCTGGAACCCCTGTGTTGGGCCCTGCTGTATGTGGTCTTCCCCAGCCACAGTAGAACAGGCATAAAGCATGCAAGGGTGAGGGCCTGCCCAGGGGTGGCTTTGGTTTTGTTTTTGTGTTTCAAACTCTGAGGTGAGGTGGAATTTGCTAATGGGAGCATCTTCTTCTTTTTCAGATCTCAGGTTAAAGTTTTTGACTGCGTTGACCTTTGTAGTGCTTGTTATTAGGTAAGACTTTAGTGTGTGTGTGTGTGTGTGTGAGGGGGTGTTCATGTATACGTACGTCTGAGTGTGCTTGGGTGTGCGTGCATGTGAGTATCTGGGTGTGCTTGATTTTGATTGTACATGCATGTGTGTGTATCTGGATATGCATGTATGTATGTGTCTAAGTGTGCATTCATGCATGTTGGTGTGCTTGGGTGACATGCGTGTGTGTGTGTGTGTGTGTGTGTGTGTGTATGTGTAGTTTTGCTTTGGTGAAAATGCGTGTGTGTGTGTGTGTGTGTGTATATACAGTACATCTGGATGTGCTTGGATGGGCATGCACATGTGTGTCTGGGTGTGTATTTATGTATGTGGGTGTGCGTGCATCTGTTTGGCTGGAGCCAGAGGGTTAACATGAGTGTTTTCCTTTTTCATTTTCCACATTATTTTTTTAATGTGAACTAATTCATTAATTCATTGTATGTGTTGGGATGGTACATGTGTATGTGTCGGTCAGAGGAGAAGATGCAGATGTGTGACCCAGGGACAGCTCTCAGGCATCTTAACCTGCTGGGCTATTTTGTCAGCCCAGCTCTCTCTCTTTTTCTGGACCCAGAGCTCACTAATAGGTTAGGCTGGCTATCTGAAGTCTCTGTTTCTGCATGCCCCAGCCCCATTCCTTAATGCTTACAGATGCCCGCTGCCACTCCCACACTCTCAGCTTTTACCTGCGTGCCAGGCACCTGAGCTTAGGTCCTCACGCTGGCGTGACAGGCATCAAGCCTCCGAAGTCCCAGGACTTGTGATTATTTGACACTGTGTTGCCATTCTCCCTGTTATCTCTTTGCATGGAGTTAATTCAGGGTGTTTGTGGCCACAAAGTTAGAGGGCTGGTGTCTTAGTTGGTGTTTTATTGCTATGAAGAAACACCATGACCAAGACAACTTTCACAAAGGAAAACATTGAACTGGGGCTGGCTCACAGTTCCAAGGTTAGTCACTTATTGTATGGCGGAAGCATGGCAGCGTGCAGCAGACATGGTGCTGGAGAAGGAGCTGAGAGTTCTATATCTGGGGCCACGGGCAGCAGGAAAAGAACTGTGCCACTGCGCCTGGGCTTCCTCTAACAAGGCCACACCTCCTAATAATGCCAGTCCCTATGGACCAAGCCTGAAAACCCATGCGTCTGTGGGGCCAAATCTATTCAAACCACCACAGGTCCTGATCAAAGTTATATCCGTTATGTAACAGCTGGATGGTGGTGGTGCACACCTTTAATGCCTACACTCAGGAGGCAGAGGCAGGTGGATCTGAGTGTGAGGCCAGTCTGGTCTACAGAGCAAGCTCCAGGACAGCCAGGGATACATATACAAACCCTGTCTCAAGGGAGAAAACAAGTTATATAATGGCCTAGGTTACAAACGTCTCATCATAAATGCCCAGGCGTGTGAAACATGCTAACCCACATTTCCCTGCTCACTCCAAACCTTGCTAGGCACACACACTGTCACCCACATCACAGAGGCGTAGCCTGTGAAGTCACCTGAGGGATACCTGTGCATAGAGATCCTTTTGGTGCTGAGTACAGGACTCTGTGTGAGCAGTCAGCAGGCATCAAGGAGAAGCCACTGTCGGGGCAGGTGGCAGCCATCTACAAAGCCCTCCCCCAGGCAGCATTTGTTGGAATATGTTCTAAGGGATTGACTGGTTGCTTAGACTTGATCTCTGTTTCCTAAAATCTAAAGCTGTCCAGTGAGTATCTGCCCTGCTCTTTGGTTGCATTGGTTTTAGTTGCATTGGTTTTTTGTTGTGTTTTTCCCCAGAGCAAAAGTGACTGGGGGTGGGGTGTCAAATAGAATGTATATGGAAGTTTCCTGTTAAGGCTTGCTGGGGTGAGCCCTTCTGTGTTTCCACGTGGTGGTTTCCCTTCTCTTTCAGCATCGTCATCCTCTACCTAAGGTTTGGAGCCCAGGTGTTGCAGGACAACTTTGTAGCAGAACTGTCGGCTCACTACCAGAACTATATCCTTATCTCAGGGGACTGGGCCTTCAGGCCACCCTGTGTTCATGGTTGACACCTTAGCTTTGGGCATTTATGAGGGGATCAGTCAGCCCGTTATGACCTGTGTTCCATGGGCCTCCAGCATGCCTTGCCCTCTCTCTTGGCGTCCTGTTGGCCCTGGGAAGGGTGAGTTTCGTCATTGCTCCTCCTGAGGCAGGAAGCTGACACACAGCAGGGCTGAATCAGTGCCCAGGATGAGTCATTGCACAGCCTGGAGCCAAAAGGATGACCACACCAGACCACTCTCGGTGCCCTGCTGCTTGCTTCTTGTGGGCAGGCCTGAGACCCTGAGTCAGTCAGAGACAGACACACAGACACTCTGAGCACACACTGAGGACCAGCCAGGGATTGGAGTCTTTCCTGTGTGCTGACAGCACCTTCAAAGCTTGGTTCAGGTGCAGCCAGACGCCAGCATCACCATGGTCTCAGCTTGAGTCTGAGGGAAGGTTCATGTATGTTGAGATTCACGGAGCGTCTGTTCTATCACTTGTGACTGAGCTCCAGCTGTTGGGTGCTGGGGGTCTGTATTTGTGGAAGAGATAAGGACGTTCAGGTTTGCATTTCTCATGTCAGCAGACCTCAATCCCTTCTCTTCTTTGGGAGTTATGAACCTAGGTCCCTAGGAACTGAAGGGTCCCTGTGGCATCCAGCCCTGAGCTCAAGCTGAATCATCCTGGCATCTGGGCTGTGGACCCCCATGCTGGTTCATCCTGGAAAGGGCTGCTGGGGAATGGGAGGCAGAGGCTTGTGTGTCCAAACTCATGCTTCTCCCTTGACTGGCAACACCAGCTGAATTCCTGTCTTTCTACGGCCTGTTGAACTTTTATCTCTACACACTGGCCTTTGTGTACTCTCCATCGAAGAATGCTCTGTACGGTAAGCCACCACTGTGGGGGCTGCGTTGCATCGGCTCAGGTGTCCCCAGGTATAGGGCACTGTGACTCCCAGCACCTTCTGTTTGGACAGAGGCAGCAGGCAGCTAACTGGAATAGTACCTGTATCACAATCTCACAGAACGCCTCGGCCAAGTCCCTCTGGGGTTTGGGATCCTTCAGACTCCCACCTAAGCTAATAACACAAGATGCTCTTGTTAAAAAGGCTTCTGTTGTCTTTCAGAGTCCCAGCTGAAAGACAACCCTGCATTTTCCATGCTTAACGACTCTGATGATGATGTGATTTATGGGTAAGTCACCGCCACCACGCACATCCCGCCCGGCGCTGCATGCCTGCTGCATTGGCAGTATCTCCACGGCATTAGACTGTTAGCTGGGGGTGCCAGGAGCCTTATGGCTTTGCTTTGTGTCCCTCGCTTGGATTTAGTAGCATTCCATTTTGCGGAATGCCTGCAGGGTGTGGTAACTACAGAATTATTCTGGGGTGCCGAGAGTCAAGTTGGGGAGAGTGAGCAGTTTTAGTTGACCCTACGAGGGATGCTGTGAGGTGAGTTCCTTCAGCATAGCTGTCAGCATGAAGGCAGAGAGGCAGCCAAGGGCTACCAGATGGTGGCTGTAGAGTGACTTAGTGAAGTATCTGCTGTACACATGAGCACCCATGTAAAAATGCCAGGTTCTGGGCTAGGTGTGGTCATACATGCTTTTAATCCCAGCACTCAGGAAACAGAAGCAGGTGGATCTTTATGAGTTCAAGGCTACATAGTGAGACCCTGTCTCATAAAACAGCACTAGCCAGACCCAGTGTTCAGTGGTGCATACCTATAACCCCAACATTGGGGGGTGGGGACAGAAGGCCCCTAGGGCTCACGGGCAAGTCACTCTAGCAGAATCTGTGAGCTCCAGGTCCTGTGAGAAACCCTATCTCAAAACCTGAGGGGAAGAGGAATTGAGGAAGACCCCTGATAATGGCCTCTGGCCTCCGCACACATGTGCATGCACAGAGGAGAGCTGTCAGGGTAGCGGAGGGTCAAAGGTCTCTTTTACAACAGGAGTGACTACGAAGAAATGCCTCTGCAGAACGGCCAGGCCATCCATGCCAAGTGCAGGGAAGAGTCGGACAGTGACTGAGCCCTGGGCAGCAGATGGGACAGCAAGGGGGCTAGAGGCCTGCCTGCGTGATGCGTTCTGGCCCTCTCTTCTATCCGTTTGTGTCTGGACTCCTCTGTACACAAAGGTTTCCTGTTCCTTATTTGTTTACATATTTTTAAAAGAAAAACCAAATGGATTGAAATGTTGGGCGGAGTTTGCTGTGAGGGTAGCCCCACTATTTAAGAAAAGGGGCTGACTGGTAGAGAATTCAAAGGCATATCCTTTCCATCAATAATCAGGTGAAACGGAGCCTGTATGCAGTCAACGAGGAGAAATGACCCATGTTTAATAAAAAGAATTAGGTACTTTTTTTCCTTTTTAAAAAGCAGTTGAGTCTGTGGGAGGCTGGATGACCAAAGTCTCAGCGTGGCAGTGACAACCCTTTCCTCTCTGTGGCACTGTTCTTGAGTGCTCCACCCTCAAGGGAAGCCTGACCCCTGCCTGCCTCAAGCGGGCAGTCTGCGACCATCCTCTTGAGCACATGGGGTGGTCAGTGTGCCGACTCACAAGCGTCTGCAGGGAGCCTTTGATTGTGTTTGGTGAGCACATACAGGGTCATTTTCAGGAATGGTTGGTTGTCAGGTTCCTGTCCATCATTGCCCCCGAGCAGAAGTGACAGCAAAGTTGGACTCAGAGTAGGCTGGGAGCTGGGAGGAAGCCAAGGCGGCTACAGGCCAGTAGTGTGTGGGCAAGGTCCTTGTGTCATGGTGCTCATGAAGGGTCTGTGTACAGATAGGATTGGGTCTCCCTGTGCTTGAGGTAGAAAACGGGGTGGCCCTTCCCAGTCCAAGAGTTTCTGCATTTCCACTGAGTATGAAACCCTCAGAGAGCTCTTTTTTTTTTTTTAAACAATGAAAGCTACATGAAATACAACTGTATTAGAAATCCTTTATTGCCAGAAAGACTTTATGTTTAACATTAGGAACTAAAATAAAGAGAAAGTAAGACATTTTGGATGACTACAGAGACAGCTTCAGACAAGGGGACATGCCCCAAGGTCGGTCTGTGTCTGGAGTGTTGCTCTGTGGAGAACAAATGTCACCTGCACTGGTGACATTCAGCATTGAAAGTCCTGAGGGCCACTGCCTTCCATTCCGCTCCTCGGAGTTTCCCCACACAGAATGTCTCTGGGAACACCTGGTAACGGTCGCCATCCTGCCTGCCTCTGTCTTGGCAAATCCAGAGGCCGAGTTCAGGTAGATCCTCTTCAGGCAATACCACACTCCCGTCATCTATGCACCGACTCCAGTTGCCACTCTGAGCTGCAGGTTACTGTGTGGGCCAGACTCCAGGGATGGCAGCGGCTCTTCATGCTGCCTGTCTTCTTAAACTTCAACATACTTTAATATGGATTTCATGTGCATTGTTTTAAAAAACATAAAACAAAAACTTGTAGATATGAATGTTGGACTAGAACTGTCATTGCAAGGGTAACGGGTTTACATGATTTTTTTTACACTTGCTGTGATCCCTGTCTGTTGTCGAAGATACCGGAAGGGTTTGTTTCCAACCCTTCCCTTGCAATGGACCACTGCAACTGGCATTTTATGGACACTGACTTGTGCTGATCCTAAGATGTTTGAATATGTGAGAGTTTACATGTTTTAATCATTATAAATAAGTCTCCATGGTTTATAACACTATTTATCAGTGTAAGGTATTTTAAGCATTTAAAGAACAGCATCTGAAGTACAGACTTCAGAACCTTTAAAAACTGCCCTGTAGTATAATTATAAACTGATCCTAGTGTCTGTAAAACTAAGGGAACTTTTTTGCTGTTGAAATAGGAATTACAAAGAAGCACCCCCTACTGTCGTGTCCATCATGTATTATATGCTGGGTAACGCTCTGTTTACAGACTAAGACTTCAGTGTGTAGGTGGAAACTCAGGTGTTACTTCAAACACTAAACTCCACCGGGGACTTTTGATAGTAACCAGAAGACTGTTTTGTTCTGAGGGGATTAAAATTTACTAAGCCTAAGTTATAAATTTAAAGGGCTGACTAGTTCTTTCAGGGTAATGGTTTGAATCATACTGTCTTTGGGGTATTTTTTTATATTGGTCCAATCCAGGGCAACCTGGAAGGTGATGGCTCCCAGATTCCCTGGAGAGAGCTTCATTATCCCTGTGGATAGTAAATCTGCTTGATTTATTGTCAAATCAGTGCAGCAGTGATTTGGTGCCTTCAAGCCCCATCTGAAAGGCTAGAGAAGAGGGTGTGTAAACTTACATCTGAGGCTCACGAGGCGGTCTCTGTACACTTACAGACTGAAATAAGTTTAGGTGTGTAAAGCCAACCTGCAGATGGGCAGTTTATAAAGCAAATCTCACCAGCCTCAAGTGCTGAACCAGTGAAGGCACAGTTAGGATAAACAGGTTCAAATATGGTTACTAATCTTTATAGGAAAAACACAAGCACCCACTAAAGGGAGAAGTCCCTCCATGAGGAACAGACCTGAGACTTGATGTGTATTTGTATATTTGAGGGTTTGCCTTAGTGGTTAGATTGGGGGGGGGGAGGTTGTAGCCCTTCTCCCCCCACCCCCCAGGCCAAAGGGAAATTGATTTCGCCAGACACCTTGCTGAACGTTTCTTTTGGTGGTTTGGGTGCTTAGGTGCTACCATTCTATGATATATCCTGTGACACAGAACAGGTTACTTCCATTGTATGACACAGAGGGACTTTCTGCTTCTGAAAACTACCTTTTTACAAATGTCTGTAAATATCTGTCAGATAAACTCACTAGCCTCTAAGTCCAGAAGGAACACTGTTTGGACCATCAGTGGAACAGTGATATCTGAGCAGTCAGTCAAAGAATAAATGCTTATTTATGAAAAACTCAATAAACTTCACATTTTGGGATTTTGTACTAGATTTTTTGTTGCTGTGACAGAGACCTGATGAAAATCTCACAGAAGGAGTCACTAGCTCACCGGTCCATGGCTGGCTTCTTCCACCATGGGCCTATGATGAGGAAGAACAGGGTGCCTAGACTGTGTGGCCAAGTTACTCACGTGGCCAGGACAAGACAGGCGCCCTTACCCACTATGGATACTTGCTATAACCTGCTTCCTTCAGCAAGCTCCACCTCTGAGTTTCCAGAACATCCCCAAGTATCACTGCCAGATGAGAACCAGGTATTTGACACGCACCTGTAGGGGACATTTCTCATCCAAACCGTAACATTGTGACAGCTTCATTGTGACACTCTTATTCACCAATGTTAATATATTTCTAATTTTCAATCCTTTATGTACTTGCTTTTTATATGAATGCTTTAGAAAGAGGACCTCAGAGTCCACAGCAAAGCTCTTCTGCCAGGGATCCCGGGGAGACTGCTGGTTCAGTGGGTTAAGTGCTTACTTTGTGAGAATGAGGGCGCAAGTTTGGATCTGCAACATCCAGGTAAAAGCAGGCACAGTGGTGCGTGCCTGTAACCCCCGGGGCTGGGAAAACGGAGCAGAGACAGGTGGGTTCCAGTGGTTTGGTGGCCAGCCAGTTTAGCTCAGTTTGCTCCAGGTTCAGTGAGAGACCCTATCTCAGAAAACATGCTGGAACTAGACACCCACAGAAGACCATGCATGAGTGTGCACCCCTTCAGACACATGCACATACCAGGTAGTAATGCCAATCACAGTGTCTAAGACGTGGCCCACAATAAGTACCCCACAGTGGTCAACAGCCTAGTCTTTGGGGGGACCCCTTCTCACAAGGATTTGTGACTTGAAATTAACTGCCCTTTGTGATACCCAAACTAAGCATTGTTAAGAACAGCAATTCTGAAAGCATTCTCTATGTAGCTGCTACTAAAATACCAAGAACCTAGGACTGAAAGCTGCAGGGTAACAGGGCTGGGCAGAGCATGCGTAGGTCAGAGCTTACTGGCTTGCCCAACCTTCACGTCTAGGAAACAGGAACTAGGCTGTAGGATTGCAGCATGGCTAGGCTCCTGTCCTACGGGGGCAATGGGCGCATTTCCATCCTGGAGGACCAAGGCAGAACTGCATTTGTTTTGCCCTCTACTAAGAGGGCAAACATGTTTATCATATTGCTAGGGACAGAATCCCAGGAGTCGTGCCTCCTGTTCTTTTTGCTTCCTGACTTGTGCCACCTGAGGCAGCCAGTGCAACGAAAGTAAACTGATGGGCCAGTGAAACGGTGCAGCAGGTAGAGGGGCTGCCACCAACCCTGACAACCTGAGTTCTGTTCTGGGATCCAGTGGTGGAGAAAGCGCCAACTCGCACAAATGGCCTTTGACCTCCATGGGTGTACCATGGCACTCCCACAGTTGCCTTTGACCTTTGAACTCCACAGGTGTGCCATGGGACACTCTCGCTCTCACACACAAACATAATTAAAAATTAAACGGCTAAACTGATGTATCCCATTTTCCCAGACATCGGCCATTTTTCTAGATCTCTAAGTAAGGATACATGTCACAAGTGTCTAACCCACCCCTGAGGTCTGTGACCTCTCTCCAGCTCTGCCAGTGTCAGCACGTTTCATCATCACAGTAAGAAACAGGCCCATGGCTTCAGGCATCCCCTGCAAAGCTGGCTTTGCACTGTCCTGAGACCATCGGCCAGGTTCTGACCATTAGTTCAGGTATATGCTTATGTCAGCATGCAAAAGGCTAAAGCAACCTTTCTTCTTTGCCTCAAACTAATTCTGAAGGCAGTAGCCACAGATTCCAGGCTACAAAGAACACAAAAACTTTAATTTTGAATAATTTATTGTTCTAATAAAAGTATAAAGTATGGAAAATTAGTGTATCTGAATCATTTCAGAAAGCAGAGACATTTCCACTAGCAGACGTGAGTTTTTAGCACCTTTGAGAAGACAGTTAAGACAAGTGGTACTGCCCACCTCGGATGACAGGTAGCTGCTCGTCTGCCTGGCATCGTGTGGCTCCTGTGACTGGAGAGTCATTTGGTTCATTTCTCTACATTTTGAGAGTGCCACAGAACAACTTAAGGAGGAGGAAGGTGTTCGCCCAACATAGCTGGTGGTGAAGCTGGACCTGGAGGCTGGAGGTCAGATGGACAGTCCGAAGGTGCTGACGATGCAGTACATGGTCTTGTTCTCCCATCGGACTGTGCAACTCCCTGCGGGGACACAGACACAGGACATGAGGAGGCCCAGCAGATGCGGGTCCCACCGTGCCAGCGCTGCAGGGCACGCCTCCAACATACACAGGGAGGGACGTTATTAAAGCCTGACTTTACTTACAAATGGGCAAGCGCCCACCCACAAAATTTTTTTTTTTTTGGGGGGGAGTCTCACAGTGTAGTCCAGGCCTCAAACTCACAGAGATCTGCCTGTCTCTACCTTGCCAGTTGTGGAGTGTGCACCACTCCACCAGGCAATGGTAACTTACAGAAATGCACTGAAATTGAGACGTCTAAGTGCATACTTCACAGAACAGGGCTTAGCGCTGCCCACGGAGCTAGTGGGCATAACAACACTGTCTAGGAGGGTGAGAATCCTACCGTCCGTGGAGCTGTCCCAGAAGCAGGAACTTGCGGTGTGTAACCCAGCACCGTTCTTCTGCATGATCACACAGGTCACTAAAATTAAACAAATGTGTGTTAGGAAACTAAACAAACTTGTGTTAGAAAAACTGGCGCTGTACAAGGGCAGACTGTGCTGCCTCACTCTGACGAACAACATTATTTCCTTTCTCTTAACATGTTCTCAACATGTCTGATCAGACATCCTGTGATTGTTTGACATAATCCCTGAGACACTGGTGTTAGCCTGGCAGGCAAAGTGCATGGTGCTTTCACCACACAAGGGACCTGGTCCCAGAAGAAACCTTCTTGGAAGTTCGACAACCAACTGCTAAGTGACCTTTCTTCCAGCACCAGACACACCTCAGATCAGTATTTAAAGAACCTCTATCAAAATACACAAGATGAAAATCCATTACCAATGTATTTAAATGGTTTCCCCAGTTTGGTGAGTTGGCTCAAAGTCTGTTCTACAACATTAGTGGTCCACTGGTTGACTTTGCTGTGCTGGTAGGCATTACCACCGATGGCGCTTTCTATAGCCTAGGGGGGAAAAACACAAGAGATCATGGAGAGAACCCACCCACCACTCACCACTCACCCAACACGGCCCATAGCCCCCTAGAACTAAAGACAGAACTCTGAGATGTGCGCGCGTGCTTGGTCATGGGCCCCTCTGCACAGGTGGCTTCTCATCAGCATCATATGGCATCCCAGTTATGTTTACATTGGCTGAAGAGGGATGTTTTATAGAATCTGTCAGATGGACTCAACATTTCGACTGAACAAATGGACTGAATGTTTATGCCGCCATTCATCTCTAACAGTAAGCAACACTTTTTCTTGTTGAGGCAGCAAAATATTTTATTTTGCCAGCTTCTTAAAAGTATACTAGTCGGGGGCTGGAGAGATGGCTCAGTGGTTAAGAGCACTGACTGCTCTTCCAGAGGTCCTGAGTTCAATTCCCAGCAACCACATGGTGGCTCACAACCATCTGTAATGGGATCTGTTGCCTTCTTCTGGTGTGTCTGAAGATATCCACAATGTACTCATATAAATAAAACAAATAAATCTTTAAAAAAAAAGTACACTAGTCATTTTTAGCCAAAATAAAATATATAATGTGTATTAGATGACATTTTACTGGACGTTTGTACAACTGGCAACATACAACCTATCCAGTCTTGTAGTACCTGTGGCCTTGTTGTATGGGCTGTGTTACCACACTTTCCAGATAACTGAACCTCTCACACCCAAAGCTGGAGCTTGTGATAGCATTTCCCCTGGATTCCAGGGCTCCTGACAGCACAGCTCACTGTCCTATCCCTGGAATATCAGTGACTCTCTGGGTCTTTCTCCAGCATCCCCTCTCCCAGATGTCAGTGAGGCTCTGAGCAGCTCCCTCCCCTCCCCTTCTAACCTGCTGGAAGCCTGAGAATGAGTTTCAGGAGAGCCTAATGGCCTAACATAAAGACAGACACAGGTCCTCACTGCACACAGTGGAGAAGGAGTGGGTCAGACACTCCAGGCTGAGGGCAGCAACAGCTTTTGAGGGATGAACTATGGTTTCCACCTCCAGACTTGGGGCTCTGACCAGTCACGTTGACCCAGCTCCTCTGCCATGTCTGTCCACTCTAGGTTGAGAGCACACCGTGGGCTGAGGACTAGTGGTCTTGCTTTAATCAAGGTATGGCTAGACACCGAATACTGTCAGAGGAGGAAGAGCAAACCCCCTCCATGCACTATGAAGTCCAGTTTTTTGGGAGAAAGGAAGACTCTAATTTTGGGTCCACTCATATTCCAACTACCAAATATTTTTAAACAGCTTGAGGACAGAACTAACCGACTGCCAGGGCAAAAAAGCTGAGTCATCTCACGCTTCCTTGTGGACTTTTAATGTGCACTCTCAACCACCTGCTGCCTAGTAACGCAGTCTAAGTGGATACAGAAAACAGGAGGCAAAACTCATCCCTAACAAACCCACTCTATCCTTCCCAGTTCCCACTTAATCCACCACCTTCCTGCTTCCCACCTGTCCCACAGGAAACACTGCATGGAAGAAACAACAAAAGGCAAATTTACACTCCCTGCAGAGCACCAGAAAAGTCACACAGGATGTTGAGCAATGTACATGAGAGAGAAAACCATCTTGGTTTTGGAGACTTCTCACAAAACAGAGTGTGGTTCTTTAACACTCTGGCACAAGTCAAGAATGGGCATCGAGAATCTCACATTGTAGTCAGTCCAAAATTACTTCGGGGAACCTCAAATGGGAAGAAGGGTTTATTCTAGCTCCCTGTCCATGACGGTGGCAGAGTCCTGGCAGTCAGCGCCTGAGGCAGCTGATCACAGCGGCAGTCTGGAAGCCAAGGCAAGGACTGCTGGGCTTCAGCAAGCTTTCTCCTTTGTCTTCAGGTTGGGACCCTCCCAACCTGTGGAACAGTGCCGCCCACATCCTGGGTGGGTCTTTTACCTCAGCTAGCCTAATCTAGACAATTCTTCACAGATATAAAATGCAGTGACCAGCCACCTCACATTCCTGCCACCATGATGGACTGTCTTCCCTTCCAACCATGAGCCAAAATCAACCCTTCTTTCCTAAACTCTGCTTCTGTCGGACACTCTCACAGTGTCCCAACTCCTTTTGCCTTTGTCCACCTTGTTTAAGAGAATTACTATGGTATCAATAATGTATTTAAAAATGTAAGAAAAACCTATGAATAACCTAGAAAAAC